TTTTATAAAAGTAACAACATTACAACTCTTGCCATCATTTATAGTGGCTACTTAAATGAAATAAAGTTCTCTTTTCATAAAATTAACTTTAAAATGTAACAGCTCGTGTGGTCTATTTGTTCCTTTTCCAACGTTTAAAAAATTCGCAGAAAAGGTTTAAGAAAATCCACTATTGCGTTAAGATGTCATGGAGTTTAAACAAAGCAAAAAAATCCAAACATGCCTTTACATCTATGAATCTAGTTAAGTATGCATCTCATCATTTATTTATTCATTCATTCATCTGTGTCAAGCTCATGCTTAGCACAGACTTTGTTGTGGTCTATACCCAATAATAACAAAACAATTTATTACTTTTGTATTTATCATAGTTTTATAGGCAGTTGCATTTTTAATTGTGCAGCGTATGGACAAGGAATTAATTACTTGTTCCTCAAATTATGTTTTGTATTTGCGTAGAATTTTGTAATCCAAATTTTGTAATCCATATTTGTTAACATCAGTTCCATCAAAAATTATATCTCTTATGCATGCTTGTGAATTAGAGATTGTGCTTTGTATTATGTATATTAGTTGGTTATTCCCATTGGTTTATTCTCTACGTGTCTATTGAAAATGGATAAACCCAGTTATACATTAATAAAATAAATAAATGGTTAACAAAATTTACTGCTCAAAGTTTTTGTGTAACCATGAGGAATATTTTCATTTGACAAGATAAACATGTTTTAATATCAATTACATTGCACGATTGTTTTTTACAAGATTTCTTTCACCTAAAGTATTTTCAGACTTAAACAACATGGATACAGTTTGAAACAATTTAATTACTTTCTTAATTTTAAATGTATCTAATTCTACCTAATACATGTATATCTCAACGAGAGAACAAATCTCACATACTCATTTACAACTGTCTAAAAATATTTCAAACATCTGCAATGACTTTATATTCAAATATTTTAAACATTTCAACAGTTTTTGGAATATGAAAACATGCAAAGTTATATATATATATATATATATATATTCTTGTCTGAGAATCGATTTCCGGGATTTTAACAGAATTGCATTAGATTGTTAAAGAAAAATGTTTATCCTATTGCATGAATGTAGGTTTTCAATAGACTTGACTTTCAGTAAGTGGGCTTTCAACTAATTGCATAAAACTTTGTCCCCGACAAATATTTTAAACGCTAGAATTTTGAATTACTCAAATATGTAAAAATAATAATTAATTAAAATTAAAAGATAAAGATAAAATTTAAAAACCTATGTCAGTTGCGATACAGTTAAACACAGGAGAATTCAATTCAAAATTTGGGGCATAAAACACACAAACTTTTCAAAAACATCACAACCAGAATGCTTGTGTTCTATCACAGATGTCCATTACATAATCAACATAAAATTGTGTATGCATTTTACATTTCCATTCAATCCAAAATCAGCAAAATAATGTAAAAGACAAACAAAACTTCATATGCCAGCTTCCTTTTTCATTTTTCTTCTAAAACAATTAAAGCATATATCCACCAACTTTCACTTTTGGGGGTAATATTTATTGACCCTGAGAGTCCAAGCAGGCTTTGAATTACATCAGAGGTTGATTATATTTTCCCATTTCAATGATGTGGGAACATCATTGAAAAACATATAAACCAAAATATATAAGTTATAGTAACCTTTGGGTAGTCAACTGTAGTACTTGAATTGCCATCTGAAGTTTCACATTTATCTACCCATTTCAAGTGTTGTATAATATGTATCCCACAACTACTTCCAATTTGAGCACACTAAGAAAACATTACTGAATCAGAAAAAATAATAGTGTGCTGTTTATAATTGTCCTTTTTTTCATTTATTATTGCTAATAGCTTCTTCCTCTTCTACTTTTTCTTCTTAAATAATTAATGTCTTTGCAATCCATGAATGGAATGTGCACTAGTACGGGAGCTAGGGCATGCCAGTTCTGAATTTGGAATTTGTTTGGGAGTCGGTGAAACTGTCTTTTGTAGTTGAAGCTGGTATATTAAAAATATTATGAGAGTGATGGACTTTTGTGCATGCAATTCCTTTTAGTGTAGCAGCCTTTTTCCTCAAGTCTTTGCTGATTTGATGATGAAAGAAAATCTCAACATTCTTATCTACTCTTTGGCTACCCATACTAAATGAATGAATGCTTTTGGCATGTGTTCACTCATTGTGCCTTTCTCATGCCATTTTTAATAATTGCTTTGCACCATCCATTGTTTTCAAATTGAAACATTTCTTTTTGTTCTCTTTTTTTCTTCTTTTTCTTTAATAGTCTTTGGAATGCAATGATGAATAAGGTGTTGTAAACCTAGTTCAAAAATCATGTGGCATGACTTTAATGTTGTGCTATTTTATGAAATTTCAATTATTTATTTTTGACAAAAAATAAATTTATTAAATGAATTCTATGTTATTCTATGATCTTAAGAACTTCAAAGTCTGATCTGAAACTTGTAACAATAAAATTTGTTACAATTTTTTTATTATTATTATATATATATATGTATATATATATATATTTGAATATTGAAACCCACAGCAGTCATTCTCTGATATTCCCAATAGATGTTCCAAAGATGATGGATTCCAATCATATACCCCTTAAATTTAGAAGAGAAACAAAATCCAAAGGGGCCACCAACATCAATTTCCATCAGAGAATTAATAAAGAGTGCAACCTCTCTAAATGGGTACGACGACAGAAACATCCATCGGGAACTAATGGGAACATTGCAAGCCCACAAACTCAAGCACACCAAACTTTAAAATATGGGTCACCCCTTCAAATCCCACCACTTTTGCTCAACAAATGAGGAAAGTAGACCCAATATGGGGTTTCAAATATGGCACTTTTGCAAAACCAAATAACTGGGACCCAGAACGCTTGCTATTTTAAAGATCACTTGAAATATCAAATCTAAAATATCACTGTTACCCCATGATATTACCCATGGGAAGAGAGTTGAGGTGAGAAATGCATTTTATTTATTTATTTATTTATTTTTTGATCCACCCCTTGTTTGATATTTCAATTTCGAAATTACCCATCTTGTGAAGGTGGGTGATTTGGTGAAGTATCCAATGATATGAGCCAAACCAAAAACTTATGATTGAATGGGGCCATGTGAAACTAGCTTGTGGTTGTTGACACTGTTCATGGGGGACGGAACCTCTTAACCCAAAGGGCAAGTGTTGCACTGAATCAAATCAACATGAGGACATTCACTGGGGTGTTGCAGTACCACTTTAGGGATCATAAAACACCACCAAACTTGCAACTAAGTTGTTAGGCAAATCCCCTATGGAAACGCTTGATTTCATTTCACTTGAATTTTGCTAATTGATGGTAGTCTAAAGGAGATCAGTATGGTCTGGTACAAGTGGACTTGGCCATGCCATGAAAATAGAACACAAGTGGGTTCTTCATGGTTGTTGTGGATTCCACAAACAAGATGAGCCAGCCAAGTTAGGGATTATTATTCTGCCTGGGGATGCAAATCTTATCCCTGGCAGCCCATTTTTGCTTGGAATTCAATCATCTTGTGGCCAGTGGCAGAGCTCTTCTAGGTTAGGATCTTTGGAAAGGTTTATTTCTACTAATTTAAAAACAATTCATATATATATATATATATATAAATACACACATACACACTCTCTCTCTCTCTGTCTCAAACATACCTATATATGAGAACATATGGGGGTAATGCCAAAGGCAATGTGGCTCAATCCAGTAATACTTTAACTAGTAGAAATCATTACATTCTGTTTCCAAAGGAATTACAGTGTCAGACCAATCTGTGAAAGTTACTGTGTGACGAAAACGAGGATTAGGGTTAGGGTTAGGAGTGCATGTTCGCTCCAGTGGGGACGACGACGCCGTGGAGAAGGGCGATGGTGTTGCATTTTCCCGGTGGCTAATGATTTGAGTGTGTGAGCCAGCAAGTGAGGGGATGCGGAGGCGATGCGCAGCCAGAGGAGACTTCCTCCTCGCCACATAGCGAATGAAGACTGTGGGAGTGACAGAAATGGGGACGGGTCAATGACAGCAAGCGGTTGGCACCTTTCCAACTGATTGTGCCTGGAACGGGGGGCTTTACGGTGACCTGTTTGGGGTGACGAAGAGGTGGGAAAACTTCGAGAACAGTGAAGGGGAAGGGTGAAATCTTGCGATCTGGTGGGTGGGTATAATCGCCATGGCCCCAACTATCGGCCTCTGTACTCTCTGCTCTCCCTCTATCGACTTTAAATGCGGCTCTCTGTCGCTGTTTTGTGGGCAAGCTCAGGACGCTGCTTTGAGTCCATGGTTTTTGCGCCAGTGCTTTGTTCATTCATGAGGGGATCAAAGCCTCGAGGCGTGTTTTACTCCAAAAGCATGGTCTCAAAAAGTGTCTAGTTTGGAATCAACCCAATTGGCCCAGCATCTTGGGTAACCTCTTCACATGGTGCATGTACAATCCGTCTAATTTCCTTGGAATAACACGTTTTCGAAGCGAGTTTCGAGATTCGCAGTGCCGCAGTCACTCCAGTGTGACATTCTTCATCCACAATCTTAAAACCCCTTTCATAGTTTGCAGTAAAAGAAAGGGAAAGATTCTTGAGGGGTCCCTGCGTATATTCTGTGAGGGATGTTGTGCACAAAATTGTCTTTGACAGAAAAGGTGAAACTAGGGTGATGAAATTTAGTTCTCGTAGTATTTTTTGGTGACCAACTGTAAATTCTCGATAGTAACATCCAACTTGCTGGTAACAAGTCACTGGCAATGGTCACGACTGCTGGTGACACGGTGACGAAGACGACTAGCCCGATGATCTGATCCAGCTCACTCTCGCACCTTCAGATTCCACGCGAAGGAAAGAAACAAAGCACCAGCATGCATCATTTGGAGACTGGCGCCTGCATGCGTATCGCAAGAGGAGATTTTACTTGTAGGAAATGGGAGATTTACTTCTGGGTGCAGCAATGGAGTGCGAGGGTACTGTGTGCATTCAAGTGCAAGCATTGTGAAGGACAAGCAGCTGAACAATTGCAGCAGTGCCATCACTGTAATGAATTGCAGCAGCAACGATGACCCAGTCGTTGTCTTCGTCGTTTTGCCCGCGACCACAGCTGCCGTTCTGCTTTCCAACGGAGTGGCCCACACCTTGTCACGGCTACTGACTGGCTGGTGAGGCTGGGGAGGCGGAGAGAGGGAAGAAGAAGAGAGTGTGGGTCCAGATGGTGGCTATGTCACTTGACTGGTAGAGGGGAGTGATAGTATTTCTTGGCTCGTCGCCAGCCCACGTCGTCGGCCAGCGCCCCATCACAGTCTGAAAGAGGAAGGATCAAGCGGCCAGGCCTACCAGCTTAGTCTTCCGACTTTTTACTCATCTTAAGAAATTTTAAGGACTAATGCTTTCCTTGCAAGCCTCGAGCCCCGTTAAGTCCTAATTCCTGTCCCTTTTCATGTCTAGTCGTGTTGCAATCATCGAGTCAGCTGATGTTGGTTGATCAACAGAAGAGTTTTATTTATTTATTTATTTACCTCGGTTGTGATTGCTAGCTCTCTAGCCTACTGGTTTTCTAGGCTTGGTTGATGCAAGGGAAGTGTTCTTGGGAAGGTGATGAGAGGTGTTTTTTGAGGCTTTGTCGAGATTGCTGTGTGAAGGTTGATTAATGACCTGGTGACATTGACGGGGTTGTGGCTGGCGTCGTGGTGAAGCAGCGTAGCTTGTTAAGTTGCTAAGATGCCTGAGGTACCGTTTTCTTCGGATCTTGACTCGTCACTTGCTGCTCTTGTAATGGATCCTCCATTGTGTTCAGTCAATTAATCAGAAACCACCCTGCACTCCTCTTCGCATGTGGGTGGCATGATTGGTGAACTGTCGATGCAGGAGTGCTCTGTTTGAGGGCCGAGTCATGTGGTGTCAAGAAAAAGCTGTCTTAAATTGTAGACTATGGCGTAGCACAATCATTCCACACCGTGAGGTTGCCAATTTCAAGAGGTTAAAGTAATATATGTGTACACAACTGTCAAGAACCATCGGCTCTGAATGTAGCAGATTACAAGTCATATTATCGTCCAAAACAAAAAGAATAATTTGTAGCTCTCATTCTCCTACCTTTCTGTCCCGGAGGCATTCTCCTTCCCGGGAATTGTCCATTTTTTCACTCCATTCCGCAAACATGGAACTCGCAATCTCTGTCCATCGATATTATCATTTCGACGAAATACGAAAGCCACTAAGAGTTCAGTATGCTTGCACACAGCTTTTGCAGTCTTACGATTCACTGCTTTGATGGTTTGTCTTGATTTGAGGGAACTCCCGAAGGCTCCAGGAGTCTCTGATTTCTGTCCCAGATCAAAGGTCCATTAGGTTGTGTGGATAGCTCGGAGGTGCCTCCTGGTTCATCGATACGAGAATTTGAACAATGTCCCGCATTTAATTCTACACCCAGTAGCTCGAAATCATCCGCAAAATGTGCTCCTCGATGGATAACATCTGAGCTGATAGGAAGTCAATTGTGACACATTCAAGGAGCGTAACTTGCAAGCATTGCCTATATTCGTACTCTACCCGGAAAACTGCTAAAATCCCAGTTGTGAACGCTGACATTTCTCCCTGGATATAAATATTGATTGATGGTGCAGACAGTGGAGCTGAAGACGGTGGTCCTTCGGGTGATGATGCACTGCGAGGGATGTGCGCAAACTGTGAAAAGAGCTTGCGCCAAGGTTCCTGGTGTGTGCATCTCCACCTCTTCTGCTTCAGTTCAATATACCGTTACAGTAAGCAACTATTTTGGTGGTGTTCAAAGTCAAAGCATGCGACTAGTGTATGCATTTGTAATCGTTTTAATTATCCTTGTTGTTGATTGGCTTCTTAAAACAGGTGTTACGTCCTACAAGGTGGACTTCCATGGACAGTTGGTGACAGTGACTGGAAATGTCACCCCAGAGAGCGTGTACAGACGCATCAAGAAAACGGGAAAACAAACTGAGCTCGTGCCACCGCCTCCGCCACCCCCTGCCAAAAAGGAGGAGCCCAAGAAAGAGGATAAAAAAGAAGCAAAGAAGGAAGAGAAGAAGGAGGAGAAGAAAGAAGAGAAGGAGGAGAAGAAAGAAGAGAAGGAGGAGAAGAAAGAAGAAAAGAAGGAAGAGAAGAAAGAGGTATGCACCAATATTGCAGCAGTAGCAATACATTCTTGAGACAATGTGCATCAAATAGACATGTTATTTTGTTATTTTCTTCCCGTCATACCACTGCATAGACATGGTATGCATTACTCCTGAACGAAATCTCCACATAACTTCCATGCATTTCCTCACCTGTTTTTGAAGTCATTACGATTTCCACAGTTTAGAAGTCATAAAATGTTGAGATTTTACTCATAGCTGAGTTCTGCTGTCGTGAAGAGAGCTGAGTTAGTATGAATGGATGACTCAGGAAAAGCTGGGAGAGGACAAGCCTACTGATGGAGGAGGAGGCGGAGGCAAGAAGAAGAAGAAAAGTGGAGGGGGTGGTGGAGAGAAAAAGGATGATGAAAAGAAGGAAGAATCGAAGGAGGAGGAGCCTAAGAAGGAACAGGAGAAAAATCCACCACCTAAGCCCAGGGATCCCCCGCAACCCCCAGCTCCTAAAAAGCCTGAAGAACTCTACCCCGTCACCTTTGTGCTCGGCCAAGACTACACCAGATACTACTACTATTGACCAAGCAGGCAACCAATCGACCTTGAACAACTTGTATACTCAACCTCTTTGCCACCATTCCTGGAAGCCGAAGGTGAAGGATCCCGTCCGATCACTGCCCAAACTTGATCATAGCAATCAACCTGTAGGAATATTTTTGTGTCGGCCTGAGTGCTCTGGAATCTGTGAACATTGGTAACGCTCAGACATAGTAAGTAGGCAGCAGATGTTAGCGGTGGGGTTGGAGGTGTGCAGGACCAAGAGGATGGAGTTTTTGTTCTTTAAGGTTTAAATCACCAGCTTCATGAGAGACTCCGCACGGAATGGTGGCTGTACTCATCCAGAACAATGATAGAAACTTCATTATTCGTTTGGAAATGATGAGTAGGTGCGGTTTTCATATTTGGGTTCTGGCTGATCAGTGACTTACACCTACACCGGATGAGGATATCTGCCGATTCAAGCTTTGTACAGGGATCTGTTTAGTATCAGGATGCGCTAGGTTGCTGGATAAAGTCTGCTTGCTGTGATGGTACGGATGATAGATAGCATTTCCATTTACAATTGTGGATGCTTCAAGCGTCATGAACTTTCCCCTGTACAACTTGGTCCATTACAAACGGGCAGCAAGATAGTTACAGAAAACCCAACATGACATGCGTCTCAAGCGAGTCAGATACTTCTGTAAGCATAAATAAATTGTACAAGTCACTGGAGAAGTGAGGTACAGGCATAACATACCAATGATTGTCATATTCATGGTCAATATGGTATAATAGCATAGAAACACAAAACGTGGTGCATTTGCCTAATCTCTAATAAGACGCTTAACACGAACAAGCAGCAAGTTAATACGGATTTACACAGAAGCCATCATTACTCCAAATCGACTTTCTGCGCACGGAATAGAAACTTCATATTCTAGAATTTCACTGACAACCATCGATCATATGAAGACAGTCACGTATGGCTCATCACTTCCCTTGGCAAAGCCTGCCCTGATGACTGCAGCCATACTGAACATTGAAGGCATAGAATTTGGTTCCAAAGAGGAAAATGCTGTCTTCAAGCCTACTAAATAATATAACCTCGATTATTACTGTTTAAGGGGAGCCTTCTTCTCTCTATCAGCAATTCGCACAGGACCAGTTGTGTGCGACTTGAAACGGCCTCTTCCACCATCTTCTTCCTTTTCCTGCAGGGTACACATGGCCCACAATTGAAATCAATAAATATCACCATACCATGTTGCCAACACCATCTCAATCTTGAATCTGAAGTGCATACTTTATACTAGTTCATCGTGTACAGTCTAAACGGAGGCAACAATGCAGCCAACACAAGAGTGCCCAATCAATGAAAAGCAGAAACAGCATGTACCTTTTTCTTCACAATCTGAACAACGTCTTCGTCCTGAAGGATGTGTTGTGTGCCACATCGTTGTGGATAATGCTTAGCGCTTGTGCCCCACACCAGCACATACTTGATATCCCTCAATAAACTGCGATGGATGTGATTACAGAAATCTTCCACAGAGCAGCCTCCTCTATCCTACAATTGGAACAAGCCAGACTTCAAACCTTGTGTAATTTCACAAAAATCTAAATCCTAATACCATGACTTGCCGTGAAAGGTCCGCCAATGACGCAATGGACTTCGAGTGCGGTGCTTAATATCCCTGATGAGTTTTAACATGCTATTGATACACAAAAGAGAATAAATAAGTATTTATTTTTTCTGTCCAAAACAACTCATTTCACAGTGCAACTAAGTGTGATATGGATACCTTTCACGCCATCAGTTTAAACGGGAATAAAAGGAAAAAGAGTGGCTGGCATGATGCTTACAGTAGACAAAACCACAGGTTCTGAGAAATCGGGTTGTTGACCTTGAGGTTTAGTATATACACGGACAAGTCCCATTTCATCCCACATTCTAGCCAGTAATCTATCGAGGTTGAGCTGCACAAAATCAGAAATTATAAAACCGTCTCTATAAAAGAATCGCCTTCGATGGAAGCTATATTGCAGCAAGCCTGTCCTACATGGAACATCCCTTGCTCAATCCAGTTCCATACCCTCCATAACTGAAAAGAAATGTAAATAGCGTAAATTCATCTCTGCTCGAAGTTTCAACACCTCAAAATTCAAAGAAGAATTTAATTGAATACCTGAAGATTACAACTGATGACGATAGAATTAGGTTGACGAGATAGGTGATCAACATCGTCGATACCAATAACATCGATCTTGTTGTACACGTACACACACTTGATGTACTTTCGATTTCCTTCAATCACATCAATCAAATCATCCACTGTCGCATCTTCCCTAAATAGTACCTGCAATGTCAGGGTTTGTTGAGTTATCTACAAGAAGAATGCTTCAATGAATGAGAATAACCAGTCATAAGCCTCTCTAGTGGGAAATCTGTAGTGCAAAAAAGCTAACTTAAACACGAAGACTACCTCAGCATTATGAATTTTGTATTCGTGTAAAATTTGATAGCAGAGCTTCTCATCCACGTGTGTCAATTGCATAGTACTGTTGAAGGAGATTCCTCCAGTTTTTTTCCTCTTAAAGTAGATCTGTCAAAAAAAAAAAAAAAAAAAACGAAACCCAACACTAATTACAACATTTCCGAGACAATGCTTTAAGTAATTGATATGTGTTGGATGAAATAGTTGTACTTCCATGTTCTAATCACAATATAATAAAGTAATTGATATGTGTTAGATAAAATAGTTGTACTTCCATGTTCTATTCACAATATAAAGCTCCCGAAGGTTTTTAAGGCAACCACAACGTATGGAATAAATGTGACTGACTTCCAAATGCTGAAGTCCACAGAGCTCCTGAAAGATGTAAATGATCAATATAGCTAACGTAGCATGCAAACCTGTGGAGGCTTCTTATTGAGTCGTAGTCCTACAGCTTCTAATTCCCTCGTCAGAATCTGCCTGTGGCCTTCACTCTGTTGCAATACATAAACGATCGTCTTGTAACTGCTTGCCTCCATCAGAAAACATCAATACAAAACCTTCTCCAAGGAGAAATGAACACAAAGTGTATTGACAGAGTTGATTGAAAATCAGCTGATGCAAACCTCACTCAAAACTCAAAAAACAGAGTGAGAAGAGCTGCAGAACTAACATATATCCAAAATTGAAACCCTTTTGAAAATCTTGGAAGGAAGAGCGATATAAAGCATACGAACTATCTCTAGGCTTCTCCAACCACCATACATAGTAAGACGTATAATTCTCGATGATTTCAGTCACTCTAACACGACAAAATGACAATTCTATGCTGTATTCCTAGTGCTAACAAGGGTTGAAGATTCCTGAGGCTGTGCCTGTAATTCAAACTTTCAACACAAGCAAGCAAAATCACCTTCATACACAGACCATAAGGTTCGAATATGTACCTTAGACGCATCAAGAACCATCAATACAACATCAGAAGATTTTGCCACAGCAATAACCTGAAAACCAAGATGTAAACGTTCCTCAGAAAAGTTGTTATGACATAAGAAGCCATTCTTCAAATGCGGTCTGGGTTTTATCAAGGGCACTTGCATAGCCAAATTCAGGTATCATGAATTACGTCATATCATTGCTCGTGACAACGGACTCAACAATGTGACTGATATGCAAGTGCAAGAACTCGGGGTTTCAAATGCATGCCTGCCGTCCACGGCCTTTTCCCTCAGAAGCACCTTCGATAATACCAGGAAGATCCAGAAGCTGAATCTTAGCATCATTATAATGGATAATGCCAGGAATACAAGTCAGCGTCGTAAACTCATATGCAGCAGCTTCAGATTGTGTGCCCGTTAGCAGAGTCAACAGAGTTGACTTTCCCACACTGCAAAGTCCAGTCAGTATGTCTAAGTAAATACGTTCCCCAAGTGAATGGTGTCCATAGGAGTACGACTATATCCTAGACGGCTAGACATCACATGGCAGCCACTATCACCCAAACACCATATGAAAGGCAGGCATTAATCCGTGGTGTTCTACGCCGTCCTCTGAGGTTGGTTCAAAATTATTAAGCCTCATACTGGTAAAGATGGAATGAAATATTGAATATTCAAACTACATGAATTGATTCATCCAGAATTGGTATAATACTGCCCAAGGAAAAACTGTTTTCAGCTGACATAATCCGCATTAAAAAACCACACCTTGGAAAACCAATAAGAGCAACGCGACCGTGGCCGAATTTTGTAACCTCAAACCCGTCTCCAGCTGCACTAGAACCCTACAAGTCAAGATGTATAAGAGGACGTTAGAATTCCTCTGACGGACAATTTCCACCAATAAAAAAATCATTCATAACAGCACTTCGACGAAATCCTAAAAGGATAGCATTGACACTAAGTGCGAAGGTAGGATTAAAAACCTTCGGTGGCTCCAGCAACTGAGTCCTAAGCTTGGCGATTTTTGCTTTCAGCTGACCCAGATGATACTCTAGAAACAAACATGTCTCGAAATCAGCATCCACCATTACGCAAAATAATAAAGCACAACTGTACGCCCACTACCTACTCAGTATAGATCATGATTAATAAAGGTAATACTTCAATAAGGGAATAGTAATTCTAGATAGCGTACACTATCCATTCCAAGCGAACAACACTTTCTAACAGTGCCACAAGGAGAAAGATCGTCACGGTTTCAGTCCCTAATTATTAAACCTCGCATCAACGAGATAGGGAATAGCCGCACCGGTGGCTTTGTTCTTCTGAGTTCGAGCCATCTCGAACTCAATTTCCTTAATCCTCTCGACGATCCCCATCCTGACGGGCTTATCTCCCCAAAGGAATTAAACCTATGTGATTCGGGCTGTTCCTTGTACCTGCAAAATTAATAAGCTACAGAGTTCCAATCAAAGTCATCATCTCATCTGCGGTCCAGCAGGTTTCAACCACTGCACTCAAATTCGAAACGCATAGGAATGCAGATCACATTCCCTAAAAAGCCCTAGAATGCTCAAACAAACCCCACCAGAAAGCGTAAGCAAGCCCACATCTACGACAATCGTCGAACCCGATCGACACTGCAATCGGCAGCCGGAATGTAGACTCAATTCACAAATTCACAAAGGCTGCAAACTCTCGGTGCATTGAACAAAAAAGGGGCATCGTGTGAGCGTTACATTCAGGTCGATTCGGTCAACAAGATGAGTCCATGGCGGGGCTGGCGATGGTGGGATAGAAAAAGCCCTTCTACAGACCGATGAGAGCTCACAGTCCTTGAATCGCAGAATTAGGGTTTGGAGCTCACTGGTATCCGCCCCACCCCCTTCCACCGTGCGATTCCTGACCGTCTCGCATGTTCTCGCATTCGTTGGAATATGCTATCCTATAGCCGCGGCTCGTGCTTTGCTCTTGAGCTGGTCTTATCCCACAACCCCAATACAACAAATGCTACTTGGAACAAACATTATATTTTGTGATTATTGTTATGGAAATTCATGATAATTAAGCATTTTTAGATTATATAGTTACATTGAAATAAATAGTACATACATACATGCATATATATTTTAAATGCTTTGACAAAAATACATATGTTTTTGTTGTCAATACAATGTTATATGTTTCTGCAATGTTTTATTTAAATATAAATAGAATTTTATTTTAAAAAAGAATTGGTAGTAGTCAAAAATTGGAACCAGATTTCAATTTTTTTTATTAAAATAATAATAGATTTTCTATCTTTAGTTATAAAATTATAAATTACCAAAATTGTATCCATTAAATCAGTTCTCTTCATGACATACATATTTTAAATTTTAAAATTTTTATTGATATTATATAAATTTAACTAATTATAAATTTTATTTTAAAAAATTATATGAATTTATAACTATAGTATTTATTATGTATATTATTATTTAATGATTTATGTGAATTTAAATATTAAATTTTTTTTTTATTTTGCCATGTTTTTAATAATATACCAAAAAAAGAAGTGCATATTAAAATTGAATACATTTAATTTATTTACTTTAGTATTATTTATTGATTATAACTTAAATTTTTTAGTTTTGTTTTCTTCCAACAACTATGATTATGATAGAATCAAAACCATATCATATTTGGAAGACACTTACAAGTTGGTTATTTAAATTGAGTGATGAATCAACTCAAGATTAACAAGTGAATATTTAAATCCGCTACATTTACATTCTTCAGGCTCTTCTCAAAAACAATGTAACAAAATCAAATTGAAACTGCTCAAATTTATATATCACACTGCAAACAGAATTTTTAACAAATTTATTTTATATTTAATATGAATGCATCTGTCAACTGCATGTGTGATGTCGTTTTAACTTTTGAGCTGGTTATCTTTATTTTTTATATTTACTTTTTTCAGAACTTCTATGCACTCAAGTATACACATTAAACTACCTATACAGCAGATTCAAATTGTTACATTGAATTGATTGACTTCTTAAAATAATTCCAAGGTCTATTCACGTAATAAATGATGGTGAATCCTTAGAAAACCATACAGATAAACCAAGTGTCCTGTTATCATACAGATGAACCAAGTTTTCTGAAGAGTCAGGAGGTTCTTTCAAGGAAGACCCATCTTTAACAACCAAATCCTTAAAAAAAAATCCCCATACTTTAAGGTACATACTCAGTTAGTGGGCCAATTACAACACCCCAAAAATTCATACAACCCATCCTGGTGTATGCACAATGACAGCATCAGTTTGTGAAGCTTTGTTAGCTGAGTGCTGAAAAGCTTTATCCACAGTCCCAGGCAAAGCTTTCGGAGCAACATAAAGCATCACCATCTTTGATAATGCATTGAAAGAGTTTGGAAGCTTCATTGGTGTCGAACGACAGCTGAATGACACACTCTATAACTATTTTGTAAATTTTCAACAGATTCTAGCACATTTTTCCAGGATTTAATAACTGCAGACATTCATCTCCCGAAGTTTCACAAGTTTGCCAAAAGATCTAATGTCGAAGGCTCAGCTTTCCCACCCCCATATTGGTGAACACACGGAGATTCTCTTTTCCTCCAACAAACACCCCATCTTCAAACTTCTCAAAACTTCTTTATAGATGTCAAAAGTCCGAGTATGCGCCACAGACTTACAGCATAAAAGGCAACCACCACATGTTGCAGTTGTTGCGTGCACCAAATTCATATTCATGTTTCTGGCATCATCATTGCCTGCGAATGCATGAGATTCTTAGAGCTTCTCAGCATGTTCCTGACACAACTTAACCATCTCAGAAATCTTGGAGTTCTGCTGCATCAAAAACTTGACGGATGGATGTTGAGCTTTTCTCTAACATTTCAAGTATAACACGCTCTTGCAAACTTGTGGCGATTCCGATTTGGATTTCTGGTCGCCAAAGCTGACTTGCCAATATATCTCTGCCTACGAAGCCTTCAGTAGCTTCTCTGCTTTTCATTTCAATTGGAAATCTATAAGTTCATACTAGTGTCCAACTCATGATGAACATACGAGATGAACATAACTAGGGCATCTTGACGTCAGCTCCCACCTGGCTTTATTCAGTGGGATTCGATGACAAGGAGAGCAAACTTTAGTTGATGGTTTGACAACAGGAATATCATGCTTGTAGAGCAGCAGGCACAATTTGACAAGTATCTCTAGCTTGAGTATATTGCTTTGGACGGAGGTCTAGAATTTGAGTCAAATTGGTAATCGCTACCACAAATGTTGTCGCACACAGAAGAAGCAATCACTGAATTGTAACATTGTTATTTGTGATACTTCACACTGTGCAGTTATTTCCACACAAAAACGCCGTGTTGGAGTCAATATACAATCCTCCATTGATGTAAATAATTTAGAACTGGGACTTTAAGAGTCGGAAGAGGAGTATCCTGACAGCGAAGGACTTCTGAGATATTCAAAATTACCTGTCAAATCCCTTCTTACGTTATGTGCAACTGAACGCTGAAGAATCAGTGCAATAAAACGATGAGAAGACTCTGCAGTATGCTTTTGTATATTAATAGCAACTAGGATACCCTGGATAGAACTCGCCTACGGTGGTACACATTGTGCACGATGATGGTCCTGCCATAAGGTGAAGAAGTATCATGTTCGAGCCTTCACATTGTTTTCGATAGAACTCGCTTTTTCAAGCTGTATTCTAACGTCTTTCAGACTTGGTGGCTTTTGCAGTGATTTTGTGAAGCAAAAAGAGGATTCATAGTGCCATCCCACGAATTTCAGGCAAATCAAAATGCAGGACATCATATGAAACCGTTACACTCCTGGATTGATAACATCACACACCCTATTGCAGTTTGGCATTTCTTGTTTCCTAACACAAGCCACCAGTGCATGGTAACACACAGCTGCATTCATTTTTCATGCAAGAGCTACGAAGCGAACACAATGGAAATCCGTTCACAGATTCCAACTACTATCGCCTAAACAATGCCTCGAGCATCACGATTCTTCAATAATCCTGAATTTGAAAAAGAGTAATCTTCAACACAAAAACTAGCCTTCAGGGTGATGAAGTGGTGAATACTTTCATTGTGGTCGTCGGTGATAGACTGGAGGCAAATTAGGAATGATTTCATGAAACGCCTGTGATTGAATCAAAGAAATAAATTATTGTTGACACATCGTTAGCCCCTGTTCTATTATCACTGTAATAGGGTCTGCGCTCCCACTTTCTGCGTTGCCACGTTACCTTTTTCTGTTACCTGTCTGGATTAGATCTTGCTCAGCGGTCACTGTTCATCAGCACTTAAACAACCTTGTTCTCCGAGTTAAACAGTGAAATAGAGATTAGTTTAGCATTTGGTTATAATCCTTCATGGTATTAGAGCGGAGTAGTTTTCTCAAAGCAAGTAGAACATGTAGCAAAATAGGAACCCTAGATTTTGTGATCTCTAGAGACAAGATGCTGGCATCTCAAGCAAATTATAAGTTGTGGAAAACAACTATGGAACATGTCTTTGAAAAGGAAGACCTATGGGACTGCATTGAAACCATGGACAACAAAGATGAAGAAAATGTGAGTAGCAACATACTGAGTGGAAGAAGGGGAAAAAAGCCAACAAAAGAAACCGAATTTTGGCAATATGCTAAGAATTGGAGATTCAATGCAAGAGGAAGAGAAGACATTGGACATTCTCACATTGTCATTAACAAAGGAATTGTAAGATTTCATTGCCAATCTGAAGGATCTCAAGGTAACATGGAAGAAACTAGAAGATATGTACCAAACTTATAAATGACTAACATCATGGTACTTTGAAATACATGGTTAGCGGCACAAATGGTAGACAATATAGACATGCTTACATTTATGTAGTTGATATACAAATTAATAAAGGAACTACAAGCGACAAGACATCAAATTGACGATGCCATATCATCACACAAAATCCTAATCCACCTCCCATTACATTTCAATTAATTTGTTTGTGTAATTCAAAACAAAAAAAAGATCCCATACATCTTAGAGTTATTCAACAAACTACATTTCAAAGAAACAAATCTAAAACTTTGGTAAGGATCTTCATGTAAATTATAAGAATCCAAAATATTATTGAAGGGAGGCAGTTCTTAAATCCAAGAGAGAAAACATACAAGAACTTCCAAAGACAATCCAAAGGATATCGACACAATTATAATATATATTCTGACAAAATGGCATATTATTAATGTAGAGAAACATGATACATTGCAGTAATTTGCATTGCTCTTATACCATTGCCTTCAAACTTTTAGAGACCATATATATGTTACTCTAAAAGGTAATTTTCAAAAGTAAACTTTAGAAATGAGGTTACACATGATAACTCACCATCCCTCACATTTATATTTGATGAGGGAATTAAAGCAACTCTAAATGCTCTATTAATAAATACATCTCAAATTCAAGATTAGATACTTGATTCAATATCATTGCAATACTTTATAAACAATCTAAAAATTTTCTCTAAACTAAAACAAAGTAGCAAACAAGGTGCATTAATATTGGCCTTAGATTAGGATCATGTAATTCAAAGAATCAAAAGTATTAAACTTCTAATGTCCAATGGTGAAATAAAGACCATAACAAACATTTGTTATGTTCCAAGACTTAGTAGAAATGTGTTGTCTATTAGTCAAATTATTGATTTTGGAAACCTTGTACTATTCACAAACTCTATGTACTTAGTTCTAATATCATAGATATTGTATAAAACCATAGTAGTAAAAGACCTAAGATATGGCTTCTACAAATTGTCATCTTTTATTAAAAGTTTTAAAGTATATAGTATAGAA